TGCTGGCTGTATCCTTGAACACACAGAGATCTGCCTAGCTCTGCCTCCCAAGTGCTGGGATTAAAGGCGTGCACCACCACCGCCCAACTTCTGCTGTAGCTTGTTATTAGCTCTGACCCCCAGGCAACTTTATTTATTAACATACAAATAAAATCACATTTCAGTACAAATAAAATATCACCATACATTTCTATTAATCTATGTATTGCCACCTGATTGTGGCATTACCATTCTGCTCACATGTTGTTCCTTGGGCAGCTGGATGGTGTCTGCCCTGACTCTGCCCTTTTCTCCCTGTATCTCCCTTAATTTCCCACCTGGCTCTTATCCTGCTTTACCATAGCCCAGAACAGCTTCTTTATTAACCAATACTAGCAACACATATTCACAGCATTCAGAAAGACCATCCCACAGCAAGTACCCTTTAGTAACTAAATTATTCCTTCTCTTGAACCCCATAAAAGGATGCAGTGATTGGGACCCAACAGTATTTCACCCATGCTGCCTGCACCTCTACCATACATTCTTATCTTTTTCTATTTCTTTACTTTCAATAGAGTTCCCTTGCTACATTGGAATTTGTGTGGACTTTTATTCCATTTTTGAGTAAGAGGCCAAGGACCTAGAAACACCCAATGCAGACAGAACCTCTGACTACTGGTAACATCCACAGTCTTTTTTTTAAATGTTATTTCAGAGTAGCTTTACTTTGTATTTCAAGTTACAAGCTTAGTTTTCTTTAGATTTAATTTTTTTTTTTTTTTTTTTGGTTTTTCGAGACAGGGTTTCTCTGTATAGCTTTGCGCCTTTCCTGGAACTCACTTGGTAGCCCAGGCTGGCCTCGAACTCCCAGAGATCGGCCTGCCTCTGCCTCCCGAGTGCTAGGATTAAAGGCGTGCGCCACCACCGCCCGGCTAGATTTAATTTTTTAAACTTATATTTTGTGTCTGTGTGAGTCTTTGCTATGTAAGTGCTAGTGTCTGCAGAGTTCAGAAGAGAACGTCAGACACCCTGGAGCTGTAGTTTCAGGTGATTTTGAACCACTCACATGGGTGCTAAGAACAGAACTTGGGTCCTCTGGAAGAACAGCAAGTGTTCTTTACTATTGAGGCAACTCTCTGGCCCCCTGAGTTATTTATTTACTTATTATTTTTATTTTATGTGTACGGGTGTTTTGCCTGCATGTATATCTGTGCACTATGTGCATGCAATGTCCTCAGAAGCCAGAAGAGGACATCAAATCCATGGGACTAGAGGTATAGATGGTTGTGAGCCACCATGTGGATGCTGGGAACTGAACCTGGGTTCTCTGGTAGAGCAGCCAGTACTCCTAACCACTGAGGCATTTCTCCAGCCCCAAGTTTTAAACTTTGAATTTCATTTTTCTGATTTATTGATTAAGGTGGCAATAGAGTGTATGCAAAGTACTTGACACTCTAAAGTCCAAGGAAGAAATAAATAACTACAGAGTGAATGATTTCTTGAAAGGGTTCATAGTCCAACAAGAGGATTTTTTTCGAGAGACCAACAACAAACTGGGAATTGTCATGAGCAACATACTTGTAGGTAGGCAAGCATCAAAACGCCAATATGTGATTTTATAAAAAAAAAAAAAAAAAAAAAGAGGGGGGGTTCATCTGCCATATGGTGGCATGGACTGGAGAGAAATGCCCTCCCCTGCCCATCAACACCTGAGGCAGAAGGGAGAGCTGGCCCTGTGGTCATAAGAATGGGAGAGCTTTCCCTGTCCCCACCAGCTGCAACACTTGGGAGGGCAGGTCCTGCATCTCATCAGGGCTGCACAAAAGAGCCAACCCTGTTGGCGGAGTTGTGGGTAAGCTAGCCAGTTGTCAGCCAGGGAAACCTGTCCCCACTACTGATCTGTTATGCAGCACTGTGTGTGTGTGTGTGTGTGTGTGTGTGTGTGTGTGTGTGTGTGTGTGTGTGTGATGCCCCCCACTTACCTCTCACCCCTTACTGCCTGCAATAGATGAGAGAGCTGCCCCCGCCCCTTGTGAAAGCAGGAAAGCAGAGCTGCCTGGTGGTGAGGTGAGGGTGACCCAGCCCTGATGTGAGCAAGGGAGAGATGTCCCCAGTACTCATCTGATACAGGGCACCACCCACCTTGCTACCCTCATCAATGCCTGCCTGAGACAGGTGGAGGAACTGGCCCTGGGGTCGTAAGAGCAGGAGGACTTTCCCTACACCTCACTAGCTGCGGCACTCAAGAGAGTGGCCCCCGTGCCTTGCCAGGGCAGCACAATAGAGGTGGCCCTGTTTTAGGTATGGGAGAGCCAACCCCAAGGGCATGGAAGCACAACTTTCCCCAGCCCCAACTCATTGCTGCAAGAGATGAATTCGTAGGGGCAACGAGGGAGAGCTCACCCTGGTGGTGAGGACAGGGGACAACTGTCAGGCTGCCCAGGCCCACAACCAGGATTATGACTTGGCTTGCTCCAATATCCATCCCATCTATGACCTGCTGGAGCACGTGAAGGGACCTGACCCAAAGACCCAAACCTGCAGGATCTCCACAACACAGGGCAACAACAGGATAACCAAGGAGAGTCCTAGTGAGGGCCCAGCATTGATAGTGTAGCAGAAACCAGAGGCCTCAAACCAGACCGATGACTCTTTGCAATGAACACTTGCAAGTAAAGATACATGGACAAAAGGGTTTACTGCGTGATTCACTGTGTCACATTACAGTTTCCATGATGAGATTTTACATTTCTCCCTTTTTCTCTTAAATTTTGTTTTATTTGGGGGGTGGGGTGGGAGTGATGTAGTAGTGGAGGGCAGATGGGAAGGGATGAGGAAATGAAAGGGATCAAGATATGTGATATAAAAGACACATAGAATAAATAAAAAGAAAGAAAAAAGAAATATGGAATCCTTGACATAAAACCAAATAATCTGTTGATGCTGCTGAGAAGACCATAGAGTCCTATGTCATTTCAGGGTTAAAGGGCAAAAATGGGAAATTCATTGAGAATTCTAAGCATAATTTAAGGCATATCTCCAATAGAGAGAATGGGAGAGCTTGATTAGGACTGTGTAAGAATCATGACATAACAGTTAAGAGGGAAGACCAGCAAAGCAATGATTTTTCAATGAAAATTCCAAAGGAAAAAAGGGGGTTGCAGTTCTTAGTAAGAAAGATAATGACATGAACTTATATGCATAGATGCCTGACTATTATCTACCAAGTTTGTAACAGAGCCATCTATTTAGCATACAGAAATACATACATTTGTCTAGTTTCTCCTTCTCAGTTGGATTGGAAGTTCTGGCAGTCAGGGAGCTGCTTCTTATACATTTTATATTCCTGGGTTTAGGATTATGCTTTTACATCGCAGATTCTCAGTAGATGTTTGATGATAACGAGAGCTCACATTGCAAGAGAAAGATTGAATTCTGTGAGATAAATGCATTTTATTTTTTCAGTCAGTATAAGAAAAGGTGTCCTTGCTCAAAGGAATGGAGCAGTGAACACCGTGTTTTATTATCTGCAATTGAGCACAGGATAGACGGATGGCAACACTCTTGCCTTGACTTAAAAGATAACATCACCTCTCTCCTTTGTAACCGTTTTGGGAAGGCTGTGGCCTTGATTTATGATGTCATCTGGGGATGCAGGAGGTGCCACAGCTCTGCCATCATCCTTAGCATGGAGATTCAATCTCTGGGTCTGTGAGGTTTATGCTGTTGGCTTTGTCAGTAGGCTTTTTTTTTTTTTTTTTGTCTGAATAATATTTCTTTGGGTATGTCTTAGTTGTAGTCATGCTATTTTGATAACTTTAAAAATAGAACTTACAAGAACTGAGATGTTTTTGCATGCTGAGTTGAAATGTGTAGTAGGACTGCTTTATCATTTTATTTTATTTTATTTTATTTTATGTGTTTACTGAGTGCCTGTAGAGATCAAATACAGAGCTGTGTATACAAGGATGTGTAAATTTCTGGCCCTTCACTCAACTAGAGAAAAAGGCACTTGAGTTGTCCCTATTTGGGTGGAAAGCATGTGACTAAGCTGCCACCTTAAGTACTTGCTAATAAAACTGAAATGTCAAACCTTGGGGGATTCAGGTGCTAATAATTCTAAAGTCAGTTCTCATGTAAGAAACCTTTTGAGCATCTTCTGCCTTGAAGTCTCACTTCAGGGGACAGGCGTCTGGCATTAAAAAGCATCTTGGTTCCAGAGTCAGGTCCCTCAGTTCTATTTCTGGCTGTCAGTGGATTGCTATGTGACCTTGCACAACACAGGAGCATGCACTTTCCACAAAGCAAGAGGCAAGACTGACCTCCAGACCTCGCGCTTGAGGTTAGGTTCCAGGTGCCTTGGGGACTGGCTGCACTCCTCACTGGGCTCCAGCGCACCCTTTTCTGCTGCCAAAGCCATTTACTTTAGTGTGAAATGAGAGATCCAATTTTGGTATGGCCACAAGGACTTGGTGTTCCTCCTTACTGTGAATCCAGGAACCTAGAAACAGTTCAAATTTTCTAAGTCCTACAATTTTTCTTACTGTTTTTGTCTTGTTTTGAGAGAGAGGAGAGAGAGGATAGAGGAAATGAGGAGGGTGCTCAGGCGATACAGTAGAGGGAAGGGAGCCGGAGGCTTTCAAGGGCAGGGTCTAGCACCTCCAGGACTCTGGAAAAGAGGTCACACTGCCTGGTCTTGTGGGGACTACATTTCCCGGGAGCACTTGCGGCCCACAGAAGGGCGGGACCTCGCGCTCGCAGCCGCGTGGAAGACCCTGCAATCTGATTGGAAGTCACAGCGCAAACTCGGAACTGGGCGCGCGTCCCCGCGCGGTCTCAGCGCCGGGCGCGTGTGTGGAGAGACTGGGATGCGAGCGTGCGTCGTGCCGGAGGGGCGGGCCCGGAGGCTCCCGTGGGGGCGGGGCCGAGGCTCTCGCGTCGACGCCGCCTTCCTGCCCCGCCCCTGGTCGTTCGGCCCGCCCCTCCTTCCTGGAGCCTCCGCTGAAGCCGAGCCGGCGCGGCGGCCGGGAGGGAGGCGGCTAGTGGCCGGAGCGACACGCGCCCGCCGCGACCCTATGCAGTGACTTGTGCGGCGCAGGCGCCTCCTGCCCCGCCGGCGGGGCCCGGGATCCCCGCGGCGGGATGTTCTCCCGAAGGAGCCACGGGGATGTGAAGAAGTCCACGCAGAAGGTGCTGGACCCCAAGAAGGACGTGCTGACCCGCCTGAAGCACCTGCGGGCGCTGCTGGGTGAGGCGCGGGGCGTGGGCTGTGTGGTCAGGGCCACCTGCCGGAGGGTCGGGTCCCACCCGTGGCGTGGGCCTGGCGGGCTCTCAGGTCCGAGTGATGCCGGGGGCTGGCGATGGTGCGCACAGGACCCCTGCTAGCCCAGATCGGGACACTTGGGGCATTGTTCCCGAAGGCGGTAGGCTAGCCCTGGGCGCTGCCCTGTCGCCCCGAGTGTAAACTTAGCCAAGATTCTCATTTGGGCGCCTAGCCTCGGGTAACCTCGAGGCCAGGCACAGAGGTAACTATACCCTGTCCTCTCCAGGAAATAAACCCAGCACAAATGGAGCGGGCGAGAACACACACACACCTCTGCCATCTCCCTCTCTCTTTTTTAAAATTTAAATTTTTGACAACTTGGGCTAGACCAAGGCTTCAAGTGGTCCCATCACAGACTTAGCTGAACTGCCGTCTCTCTCACCCAGTCTCCTTTTAAAATGTTATTATTTTATTTGAGTGTGAGACTTCAGATAGACTGATTCCAAGTGATCCCAGGACAGTTTTAGATGTCAATTCTTCTCTCCTGTCCTCCCTTTTAAATTTAATTCCTTTGGGGCTGGGGAGAGTCGGGCTGATAGAGTTTTTGGTGTGAAGGGGCCTTTGCTCAGAGGAACCCAGGCTTTCTTGGGCTTAGGGAGGCTGCTTCTCCTTTATAACCAGAATGACAACCATTACTCCCTGCCGCCTTCCCTTTTTATGGCCTGCAGGGTTAGTGGACCTGGAATTGACCTGTAAAGACTTGAAAGCTCACCCCTGTGGGTGTGAAGTGTCCACAAGGTTTCCTGCTGCCGGTGATGTGTAGCTTGGCTAGACTATGCATTACATGGTTCTAGTTCTGTCTGTCTTAACTTTTGTTCAAGCTAGAAACATCTTTGCCAGTCTGTGGACAGACTTGTCTGTATTTTGGGGCCAAGGAAAAGACATGTTCTTCCACATGTATTTGACGTGTATTTCCACAACAGCAGCAACAACAATAATAATAAAATTAAAAACCCAGTTTTAGAGCATCTGTCACTTGAGAAAATAAAGCTTAAAGAATTCACTTTGTAGGTGAGAATTTTAAGCATCTTGTTAATGAGATTAAGAGTTGCTAATTATTTCTATTTATATTATGTGAACTATCTTTGGGTGGGAGACAGGCCAGTCAACCAGCCAACCAATGAACCAACAGAAATCTAAAACTTAAAACTATGACTACCACCACCACAAAAACTAACCCCCCCCCCCAAAAAAAAAATCCACCAGATTTTGCCAAATGAAGTTGCTTACTATCTCAGATTCCTGGAGATTCCACTTCATGTGTTGGGTTTATGGTGAATGTAAATCAGCTATTGTTGGAAGGATTAGTTTCTGAACTCTGGAAAGCAAAATGTGGTGTTCTTGGTAAGTTGAACTTTCTCCTTCTTGTAGTGAAATCCCAGGCACACAAGTGCTTTGTCTTGGCTCCTTAGCATCTGATTAACTCGTGCTGCAGGGGCATTTTTGATAAAGGTGGATTGAACAGTATTTTAAAGCATTTGATACTTTGGAACCTTTTCTGTGCTAAAGAATTTAAGCCTTTGTTCTGACTTAGAAGCCCAAGATTAAGTTGGCTACACTTTATAAAGTCAGGAAACCTAGATCAGACTAGTTTCTTAGAGATATGCTGTCCTTGTTACAATTCGGAGAAAGTGGATACTTTTCGAGTCTGAGTGTCCCTAATTTCTCTCTAAGGTGTGTGTTTCATTTCAGCTGCAAGTGGCAGGGATAGGCAGTGAACCTGGTCAATGGCGACTCTATGATTTTTAAAAAAGTGTGTGTGTGTGTGTGTGTGTGTGGTGGGTTTGTTTGAGTGAGTACAGTAACCACGGAGGCCAGTAGATAGTTCCCCTGGGGTTGGAGTCACACATGATTGTGAATTGCCCCTGAGCTGAGTACTGGGAACTAAACTCAGTACAAAAGCAGCAGGTGCTCTTAACCTCTGAGCCATGTCTGCAGCCTGAATCATGTACATGTGGAAAAAAAATAACAGCTTTATTATCACTCAAAGATAAAATCTGTGTTTAAAATACCGCTTATAACAGAGTTCTTTGATATTTCATTAGGAATACTTTTGTTGTTGGTGATGGCCAAGTTTCCTTCATGTATTACTGTGATCATTAACTATAGGGGCTCTATTTTTAAAAAAAAATAAAAATTGAGGCGTTCTAGCCATAATATTTACTGTAAACTTTTGCTTTACAACTGTAATTAGAAGACTTTAAAGAAAACTAGTGCATTAAAGTATTAATTCCCACAGCATCAAATATCTTATCTAGTTACTACCTTTAAGAAAGACAGTGTTCTTGAACTGGAAGATAGGAATGAAGTCAATGTGAAGGTTGCTGAAGGGAATGAATTTAATTAGTAGTGCATATTATGTATGCACTTAAACGCCCGCTTTTCATGTATGTATCTTCAAGTGTAACAGAACTGCTATTTTTTCACATATAAGGACCTGGGTTTGCTGCCTGTCACTGTCACTTTTTGCTGCACAACTTGGGCTGTTACTTAGCCTACCCTTGAACCTCAGCGTTGTTACTCTGTTAAATGGGTATGGTAAGGGCGTGAGTACAATATGTAATGATTTGGGCTCGGAGCAGGCATTTACCAGATTCCTCTTTACTACTTTCCTTCCACCATTAATAGGACACATATTTTAAGAGCTGTTTTCTCCACCCTTCTTTTTTATTAGATAATGATAATGGCCTTACTCTCCTGTCATAAAAAGTAGCCCGTACTTCAGACGACTTGCTGAGTCCTGACTGTATGTTTTAAATCAGCCCTTGTAGGGCTGTGTTTTATATGGTTTGCATGTATCAGTGGGATGAACAAGGAGTTGACTTCAGTTCTTCTTATGCTGTTTAAATCATTGTTGGGAAAGTAACTGAAAAAGCCAAACAAATCAACACTCTCCCCACCCCCCACAAGTCCTGTGTATTACTGTATTGCTCCAGCTAACAAGTAATCCCAGTCTTTGGGAGGTTAAGGCAGGAGGATTATTGTTAATTTGAGATCAGTCTGGGTTGCATACAAAGTTCTCTGTCAGTCAGTTCTACATGGCAAGATCCTATCTCAAAAGACAAAAAAAATGTAAGGCATATATATATAATTTAAAATTTTCTTGTTACCACATTTATGACACAAAAGCACGTGAAATTAATTTTAGTGTATTTTATTTAACCTAATGTATTATATCATCAGGTAATAGTAAAGATTAATGAATAGTTTTACAGCACTTTTTCCATGTGAATTACTTGAAATTCAGTATATATTATATAGTCAGAGCACATATTTGTCCTTACTAGCCACATTTCACATGCAGAGTAGCAAGATATGGCTAGTGGCTACAGGTTGGACAGAGTAGGACTTGAATTTGGGAAAGCAGAGGGGTAGGGTAGGGCGGTTTCCAGCCAGGAGAAGATGGAAGACTTGGTAGTAGAAGTCCATGTGGCAGTGGTGCAGGGGGGTGACTCTTGCCTGCATCCACTGAGAGTAGGGATTTGGAACACTGGGCACAGAGAACTCTTGTGTAGAGCCCTTTGTAGATCAGGGTTAGAGCCGAGTACCCTGACAAGCAGAGGCAGATGCAGACTTGGTGGCCCAGATCAGAGAGGGTTCAGCTTGCTTGAGTTGGAAGCTCACACCTCTCCTTAAGGTAGGAGACTTTCCACCAGGCCAATAGATAAGACTTGAGAACTGCCCACCTGCCTGGGACACCAGAAGAATGGATCAGGAGGGGAGAGCCTGGAGGCAGGAGTTTCCTGAAAGGGCTGTGGCTTGGGGAACAGGCAGACAAATGGATTATTGGAAGAGGAAGGCCAGGATGACAGGACAGGGCAGCAAGAACTAGTGATATGTCAAGTGCAGTGTGGGCTCCTTAAAGAGTGATTAATAGGAAGTAATTTGGTACCGGAGGCTGTGACATTCAGGTCAAATCAGAGCTAGCACCTGGACCTCAGATGGGCCCCAGAGAAAACAGTTCCTTACAAATGTTCTGTACATTGACAGAGCAAAGTATAGCATTATATTTTTTCTTGCTTTAAATAGGGGCACATTCACTTACAATTTTAGATGTTGCTGTTTACTCATTTATTGTGTGTGTTTATGTGTTACATGTGTGTAGCATATGCACACTTCTGTGTGTGTGCATGCACACGCAGATCAGAGGAGGACACCAGGTGTCCTGCTCTGTCCCACTCACTTCTCCACTGAGCTTAAAACGGGGTCTCTCAGTGAACCTGGAACTAGTCTGGTGGCCAGAAAGCCCCACAGGTCCTCTGTCTCTGCACTCTCCACAGTCACCAGCATGAGCTGCAGGTGTGTGTGCAACCATGGGTGCTGGGGATTTGAACTGGAGTCCTGCATACTCTCATAGCAAGTGCTCTTACCCTCTGAGCCACCTCCCCAACTCCTTATCTGTATTTAGTTACTAGTATCCTTCATGTTCTGTCCGTCTCCTTTTCAGTTCCAAACATTTGTGAGCACTATGTACCATAATCCAGTAGCCTAGGCTGGCCTCAAACTCTCCATCTTCCTTTCTTTCCCTGGTGAGTTCTGGGATTACAGGTGTGTGTGCCACCATGCTCAGCTTTTCCTTTTCTCCCCTCCTCCCTCCCTCCCCTCCTCCCTCCCTCCCCTCCTCCCTTCTTCCTCCCCTCCTCCTTCCCTCCTCTTTCCCTCTTCTGATAGCAGTATTACCTCTCAAACCATCTGGTGTTTTTTTCCTTAGAATAGATTTCCCCCTTTCACTTTAGTCTGACTAGCAGCACACCCCTTTTTATAGTTTGATAATTGGTGATGGGCGTTTGGGATCTTGCTAGTGAGGTGGGAGTGGTCCTAGCTAATGATGGGGTGTGGCAAGTTTGGTGTACTACAAGTTGAGTGTGAGAAAAGGAAGGTCCAAGTGGAATGTCTGGGACGAGGTTGTGGTATGTGGGGTCAGG